CGCTCGCGGCGCGGGACCGCCACGACGCCGTCGCGCTGCTCAACTCGGACGCGGCGCCGTCGGCGGGCTGGCTCGCGGGGCTCCGCACGGCGCTCTTCGCGGCCAACGACGCCCTCGCGGCGGACGACGAGCTCGCGGAGACCTTCGGGCTCGCGGACGCGGACGGCGACGGGTTCGTGACGGCGGCCGAGGCCGCGGCCTACGGCCTGCGGCCCGGCGAGGCGCCGCGCTACGCGTCGCTCCTCGCGCCCCTCGACGCCGACGGCGACGGGGCTTTGACCTGGGCCGAGGCCTGCCCGCCGGGGCCGCGGACGCGGACGGTCCGCGGCTGCGACGGCCGGAATTGGACGTGCGCGCGCTCGTCGGCGACGCGGGACCTGCTGACGGACCTCGGCCTGGTCCCGCGCTGGCCGGCCGGCGCCGTCGGCGCCCTGAGCAACGCGGCGTCCTACCAGACCGTGCCCTGGCCGACGAAGCGGCGGCGCGCCGGCTGGAACGTCGTCGAACCGCCGCCGCGGTGGTCGGTGGAGACGATGGCGCGCGCCGCGCGGCTCGCGGGCGCGAAGCGCAAGGCGACGGCGGGCCTGCTCAACGGGTTCCTCATGCTCGTGAGCCGCCAGGCGCTCGAGGCCGTCGGCCTGCTCGACGAGGCGACGTACCCGGGCGGCTACGGCGAGGAGAACGACTGGGCCGTCCGCGCGCGGCGGCTCGGCTTCGGCCTCTACGCGGCCCTGGGCGTCCATGTCTTCCACGAGAAGACCCAGTCCTACTCGAACGCGGCGAAGGCGCGGCTCAAGGCAATCGCGCGCGCGAACTCGCGCGCGAAGTGGGCGGCGGGCGAGGTCGGCGCCGCGGAGCAGCTCCTCAAGCGGTCGCCGGGCCTCGCGGCCGCGCGCGAGACCGCCGAGGCCCAGTACACGGGCTGGCGCGCCAAGCTCCTGGGGTCCGCGGCCGTGTCCGCGCTCGTGCTCGTGGAGCGCGGCGACGCGGCCGTCCCCGCGTGGGTCCGGAACGCGGCCGGCGCGGCCGTCAAGTCCTGCGCGGTCGACGCCGGGCCCGGCGCCTGCGGCGACTACCTCGCGGCGCCCGTCTACGACTACGTCGTCTCCACGGGGCCCCTGGGCCAGGCGAAGGCCGACGGCCACGCGCGGTGCCACCCCGGCGTCGTCCACGTCCGCCGCCGCCTCTCCGAGACCTAAGGTTAGAGGCAGCCGACCATGGCGGACCACCAGGGCCCGGCGTCGGCTCCGCCGCCGGCGGCGCCGCCCGCGGGCGGCGTGCCCGGCGGCGCGATGCGCATGACGCGGTCGCACTTGAGGGGCATGCAGTAGAGCGCGCCGTCGAGCCCGACGACGCCGCCCTCCCACAAGTTCAGGCCCGGGAAGGGCCCGCCCACCGTCGACACGCAGTCGTCGGGCGGCTTCGTCGGGTCGATCTTGAGCACGGTCTCGCACTTGAGCGGGATCGCGTAGACGCAGCCGTCCGCGGCCGCGCAGTAGCCGTTCTGCCACTTGTTCTGCCCCCGCGACTGGCCGTCCGCGAGGTGCGACAGGTCCAGGCCCACGTAGGTCGCCTCGGAGGTCGCCGGGTCGATGCGGAGCACGCGGTCCGCGTCCGACGGGATGCAGTAGACCTACGGAGCGCGACGGGGTCGGATGTCTTCCCATCTACGTTCGCGCGAAAAAAACACGTCGCTCGACGCCGCGGGAGACGCGGCCGTCCTTGGCGACGACGCCGCCGAGGTACTTGTACTTGTCGTCGGTTCGGTGGCGGCCGCCGCGCAGCGGCAGGTTGTTCGGCCCGGTCACGGTCGCGACGACGTCCGCGCCACCAACCCCGGACTTTGGCGCGATCTTCAGCACCGACGCCGAGTTCGACGGGATGCCCCAGACGCAGCCGTCGGCCGTGACGCAGCCGCCGTGCCACTTCCAGCCGCCCGCGGGCACGTCGCCGATGAGCGACACGTCCTCGAGCGCGCCGTCGGCGGCCTCGGCGGGGTCGAGGCCGATGCGCAGCACGCCCGTCGCGCACGCCGGGACGCCGTAGATCGCGCCGGACGAGTACAGGCCGCCGTAGAACTTCCAGCGCCCGGGCAACACCGGTCCGACGAGCTCGACGGCCGGCTCCCTCGGCCGCCCGTCGTCGTCGACGGCGTCCGACGGCGTGATGCGCAGCACCCGCTCCGCGGACTGCGGGATCGCGTAGACGCGCCCGCTCGCGGGGTCCTCGACGGCGCCGTGCCACTTCCAGAGGCCCGGCAGCTTCGGCCCGACGAGCGACACCTCCGGGTCCTCGCCCGCGGCGAGCGGCGGCGCGATGCGCAGCACGCGCTCCGCGTGGCAGGGGATCGCGTAGACGCAGCCGTCGCGGGCCGCGACGCCGCGGAGCCACTTGTACTTGCCCTCGAAGGCCGGGCCGACGAGGCGCACGTCGTCGCCGACGATCTGCAGCACGCGCTTCGCGTGGCCCGGGATGGCGTAGATGGCGCCCGACGAGCTGCGCACGCCGCCCAGGTACTTGTCGGCGCCGGGGAAGCGCTTGCCGACGAACTCGCAGCGGCAGAGGCCGTCGCGGTCCACGGGCGTCGCCGGCGCTTCGTCGCCGCCGACCTCGCGGCTGCCCGACGCCTGGGCCGCGCAGAATAAAAAGTCCGTCGACGACATCTCGCAGGTCATTGGAGCGACGAGCCGAGCGCTCCTCCGGGGAGCGCACCCAGACTCAGTGGGATCGAGGTCGCTGAAATTGTGGATGTTGACGCAAAGTTGGCCCCTATTTGTTGCGGCGTCCATGGCAGGTGTCGGCACAAACGACGACGGCTCGAAGCAGGCTGCGCATCGACCCGCAGCTCCCCGGCGCCGGCCGGACGAACGCGCGCCGCGCGGCCGCGAAACCGCGCAGCGGCCCCAAAAAACAACAAACCCGCGAGGCGCCGCCGATCATCATCGAAGGTTAGGCACCCCAGGGCGCGCGCGCGGGCGCTCAGTTGATCTTCGCGCCGAGCTCGCCGCACCGTTTCCGGAAGGCGACGACGGCCTTGAGCCACGCCGCGAGCCGATCGCGCTCCCCGGCCTTGAATTCGATCTCGTCGAGCGACTCGCCGTCGAGCTCGAGCAGCAGCGCGAGGTCCACGTCCTCGGACTCGAAGAGGGCCAGCGTCTCCTCGGAGAGCTGCGCCCGCGCGAGCTGGCCGCGCAGGGCCTCGTTGCGCGGCGCGGGGCCCGTGCGCTCCTCGTCGGCGTCCTCCCACGACGACATGCTGTCTCGCGAGACGGCGACTGCGAGTCGCCTCCGGCTGGGTGACGGCGTCGACGGCGCGCGACGACGAGTCGCCTGAGCACCTCCTCGACGAGCTCGCCGCAGTGCAGCAGGTGTGCAGCGTTGGCTCGCTGATCTGCGCGTTTTTGGTTGAGTATTCCATCCGAGGTGGCCGTCGCGTCGAAGTGCAACGCAGGTTCGCCGCAGCATCCGCGGCCAGCGACCGGGCGTCGGGCAATTCGCCGGCCCGGTCGCTTGCAGTTCGCACCGTATTCGCACGCAATTCGACCCAATTCGCCGTCGACGAGCAGATTCGCCACGAGCATCTGTTTCAAACGTTCACCTTCGCCATGCGCGTCCTCTGCGCGCTGCTTGGCACCGTAGCGGCCTGGCTGCAACCCGTACAACCGCCGCGCCGCCACGTGCTGCGGCGGCACCTGCTCGAGAAGCCCGCGGACGTCGCGTCGACGCCGCCGGCGACGGGCGTCTCCACGCTCGTCTTGCTCCGCCACGGCGAGAGCGTCTGGAACGTGAAGGACGACGAGCGGTTCACGGGCTGGTGCGACGTGCCGCTCACGGTCAAGGGCGAGCGCGAGGCCGAGGCCGCGGGCCGCACGCTCCGCGACTCGAACCTGCGGGTCGACGTGTGCTTCACGTCGCTCCTCTCGCGGGCCACGGTCTCCGCCGGCGTCCCGCGGCCGCGAGAGATTTGGGGTGGGACCACGATGGGAACTCGTCATGCTTCGTAGGTCTCCGCGGACCTGGCGACGGAGCACTGCGCGGCCGAGGGCATGGAGGTTCGGCGGAGCTGGCGGCTGAACGAGCGCCACTACGGCGCGCTGCAGGGGCGGAACAAGGCCCAGGCCGCGGTCGAGGACGGCGCGGCCCTCGTCGACGAGTGGCGCCGGTCGTGGGACGTGTCGCCGCCGCCGATGACGCCGGACCACCCGCACTGGAGCGGCATCTACGACGACCCGCGGTACGCCGACGCGTCGCCCAACGAGCTGCCGAGGGGCGAGTCGCTCGCGGCGTGCGCGCGGCGCCTCGAGCCCTTCTGGACCTCGGACGTCGCGCCCGCGGTCCGGAGCGGCCTCACGGTGCTCGTCGTCGGCCACGCGAACTCGCTCCGCGCGCTGCTGCGCATCGTCTTCCGGCGCCAGGTCACGGAGGCGCAGATCCGGGCGCTCAAGGTGCCGACGGGCGTGCCGTTGATCTACCACCTCGACGAGCGGCCCTGCGAGGCCGACGAGTCCGACTTCTGCGCGCTGGGGCTCGGCGCGGAGCCGGACTGGGAGCTCGTGCCGCGGCCGCCGCCGCCGGGCTGCGTCCCCCGGGGCCGCTTCCTCTACCCGCTGGACGAGTGCCCCGTGGCCTACGACGACGCCAGCGCGCCGCACTTCTACCTCGGCTGACCCGCGCGACGATGACGCGCGTCGTACATATCTGTGCATACACGAAGGGGGACTTACGGGCGGGGCGCGCGGCGCGAGAGCGCGCGGGACGCGACGCTCAGAGGAACTCCGTCGGCGTCGTCTCGGCGACGGCCGTCTCGGGCGGCGGCGCGGGGAGCGCGAGGAGCTTGCCCGCGGCGGGGAGCGCCGGGGGCGCGTCCGCGGGGGGGAGCGCGAGGAGCGGCGGGGCCGCGGCGGGCGCGCCGCCGGCCTTGTCCGTGACGTCGATGTGGATGACGTCGTCGGCCTTGTCCGTGACCTCGACGGCGGGCGACGCGGGCAGCGCGGGCGCCTCCGAGTAGACCGGCGGCGGGCCCGCGGCCGCGGCCTTGGCGTCCGCGAGGGGCGCCCGCGGCACGACGAGCGCGACCTGGGCGTCGAGGACCGTGGCCCGCGGGAGGCGGCGCTTGCGCATCTTGGCCGCGCCCGCGACGGTGATCGTCGCGGCGACGACGGCCAATAACGCGGCGGCGCAGAAGACGCGGACGTCGCCGAGCTTCGCCCAGCCCGCGTCGTCGTCGTCGGGCGCCGCGGTGACGTGGAACGCGGCGGACCAGGCCGGGTACATGTTCGCCGGGTAGGCGCGGAAGCGGTACGTGCCCGTCTTCATACTCGCCGGCACGGTCCAGCCGCCGGGGACGCCGCCGCGGCCGACTTTCGCGTGCCACGCGACGACGTGGATAGAGCCCGCGTCCTCGTACTCGCGCTGCAGGTCCCGGGGCGACGGCGCCGTGCCGACCTTGGGCATGGCGTCGGGCACGGGCACGGCGTAGATCTCCACCGTTTCTTCGCTGACCGCGCCGTCGTGGCGCCACGCGATGGGGACAACATCACCAACATCATAAGCCGCGAAGGCCCGCGGCGACGCGAAGTCGAAGACGGACGCGAGCTCGAGCTCCGTGGGCTCCACGGGGGTTAAGGTTGAAGGTTCCGGCCAGGCGATGGCGCCGCCGTCCTTGTAGGACTGGTTCCGATACGCGTGGAACTTGTCCAGATCGTAGTTGTCGCCCGGCATGAAGGGCTGGTCGCCGCAGCCGTTCTCCGACGTGAAGCGCATGCCCGCCAGCGCGAACTGGAAGCCGCTGGACTCGTCGGCGGGCTGCCCCATGCACGTGTAGACGCACTGCTTCGCGAGGCAGCCCTTGGACTTGACGGACTCGCCGAGCGCCCACCGCTCCTCCTCCATGTGGTAGGGCAGCCCCGCGTCGGGCTTCGTGAAGCGCATGTGCACGAAGTCCGCCAGGGTGAAGCGGCACTCGACGACGAGGTCGTCGTCGCCGCCCTTCTTGTCGGTCGCGTCGCTGTCGATCATGCTGAACGTGACGTCGCGGTAGTCGGAGCAGGACCGCTCGAAGACGACGGTCTCGTACCACTCGGGCGTCTTGTCGTTGGACGCGACGGACGTCTGGGCCCCCTCGACCTCGCCGTAGCAGTCGACCTCGTTGTTCTTGCAGTAGCCGTCCCCGTAGTTCGTCCAGCCGCGATGCCAGGTCACGAAGACCTGGACGCGCTCGTCGGCCTCGGGGGGCTTCACGAGCTCCGTGGCCAGGGCCGCCGGGGCCAACAACAGGAGCGACCGCATGGTCCCCGAAAGCGCGGGCGGGCGACGACCAGCTCAAGCTCCCAGCTTCCGTGAGGAGTTTCAAAGCGGCGGGGCAGCTTCGAAAGGTGTTTCCTCAACCTTTGGTTCAATGAGTCGATCGTGCCTGGAGCATCTGTGGAGCCGCGAGCATGCATCGGCGTGGCCGTGGAACTCTGGGGCGAGGGAATCGAGCCAAGCACCTTCTGCGCCATGCTCGCGCGCCACGCCGTGCGCGCCGCGCGGCCCCTGCGGCGCTCGCTCGCCGCGCCGCGGTCCACGGTCGTCACGGAGCGCGCGCGGCCGCCGACCGTGGTGCGCCGGAGCCTCTACGACTATCGCACGCCCGCCGCCCAGGCCGCGGCGGCGATCGACAAGCCCGTGGGCTACTGGCTCCTGGGCTGCGGCGGCCTCGTCGCCGGCATGGTCTCCGTCGGCGGCCTCACGCGGCTCACGCGGAGCGGCCTGTCCATGACGGACTGGAAGATCCAGGGCGGCCTCCCGCCGCAGACCGACGACGAGTGGCAGCGCGAGTTCGAGCGCTACAAGCGCTTCCCCGAGTGGCAGCAGCGCCAGTCCATGACCGTCGAGGACTTCAAGTTCATCTACTTTTGGGAGTACGGCCACCGCATGCTCGGCCGCGTCGTCGGCGTCGCCTTCGGCGCGCCGCTCGCGTACTTTTGGAGCCGCGGGCGGCTCACGCCCTGGCTCAAGCCCCGGCTCCTCGGCCTGCTGGGGTTGGGCGGCACGCAGGGCCTCGTGGGCTGGTGGATGGTGCGCTCGGGCCTGGACACGCAGCTGCTGCCGGAGAAGCAGCGGCAGGACGTGCGCGTCTCGCCGTACCGCCTCGCGACGCACCTGTCGCTGGCCTTCGCGTCCTACACGGGGCTCGTGTGGTGCGGCCTGGAGGTGCTGAGCGGCGGCCGGGCGGCGCGGTCGCTCGTCGCGCGCGCGCACGCGGCGCGCCTCGCGCCCGTCGCGGCCGCGGCCGCGGGCCTGACGTTCGTGACGGCGCTGTCCGGCGCCTTCGTCGCGGGCAACGACGCGGGCTGCGCCTACAACGTCTGGCCCTACATGATCGACGACCGCGACGTCGGCGAGGGCGCGTCCTTCGCGCCGCCGCTCGAGGAGTTGACGGCGCTCGCGCCGGCCTGGCGGAACCTCTTCGAGAACACGGCGACGGTCCAGTTCGACCACCGGTCCCTGGCCTACGCGACGTCCGCCGCCGTCGGCGCCCTGGCCGCGTCGGCGGCCGCGGGGCCCTTTTCGGCGCTGCCGCTCGCGCCGCGCGCGTTCGTCGTCGCCGGGTCCGCGGCCGTCGTCGGCCAGGTCTCGCTCGGCGTCGCGACGCTGCTCGCGTACGTGCCCATCGAGCTCGCCGCGGCGCACCAGGCCGGCTCGCTCGTGCTCCTGACGACCATGCTCGGCGCGTCGCACGCGCTCTCGACCGCCGCGGGCGGCGCCGGCGCGACCGCGCTCAAGGCCGCCGCCAAGGCCGGGCCCGCGGCCGGCGTGGCTGTCGGGGTCGTGGCCGCGGGGGCGGGGCTCGCGCAGGCGTAAGGAAGTTTGTCACTGAGGTGGTGTCTTCGTGCGTGATACGATGTAAGACGGCGTCCAGGACGAAGTCCAGGACGCGTACGGCGTCGGGGATCGATATCGATAGGCTGGCCGGGGGTCGACGGCGACGAGCTCGTTGAACGCCGTCCACGTGAGGACGGGGCGGTGGCAAAACAGCTACCTTACTCACTCGGGGTAGCAGTCGGGGTGCATGCGCGTGTTCGGCGGCCCGAGGAGGAAGCACTCGCCGTCGTCATCCAACGGACAGAGGCGCGCGGACACGTCGTAGGGGCCGGCGCCCTGCGGGCCGCCGGCGCTGAGGCGGCGGTACAGGAGCCGGATGCGGCCGTCCTCCTCGCGGAGCTCGCGGCCGATCTCCTGGCCCATGCGCTCCATGATCTTCGCCTCGTCCACGGTGCCCATGTTGCCGAAGATCGACTTCCCCGGGTCGCCGAGCCGCGTCGCCTCGGGCCCCGTGAGCATGCGCATGAAATGGATGTCCTCCCGGGACATCGCGACGTAGGCCGCGGCGGACGCGGTCGTCAGCGACGAGCTGTTCCCCTCGGCGACGAACGTCTGCGAGCCCGTGCTGGTCTCGTACACGTGCAAACAGACCCAGGCCCGCGGGTCGCCGCGCTTGCGGCGATGCGCGGCGATCATAGCCTTGAGCTTCTGCTTCAGGGCCTGGTAGTGACGCTCGAGCTGCTCGTCGCTCAGATGGTTCGGGATGCCCGCCAAGATCCGAGCCCACTTCTTTTGGCGCTCCACCGTCGCGTCGCGGCGCTTCTCGTTCTTCGCGTCGTAGCGGGCCCTCGCCGCGGCCAAGCAGGCGTGGCACTGAAGCGACCGCCCTCTGCAGTCGCTTTTGGGATGAAACTCGTCGCGCTCGAACCAGTGAAACGGCATGATCGCTCCGGGCGGGTGGCCGCCGTGGAGGCCCGTGCAGCGGTGGCCCAGCTTGCACTCGTCGTCGTTGCACTCGCGGTCGGGGCAAACCGCCGTACCCTCGGGCATGAACGTCGTCGTCTCGCACGCCCAGCGCGTCTTTCTCGCCTCCCAGCTCGCACTCGGGGTCTTCTCCACCACCGTCGGCTTCTCCGGGAAGTTAGTCAGGCAGAGCACGACGTCGGCCCGCGACCAGACCGCCTTGTCTCCGCACGCGTTCGCCTTGTCCACCTTGTGCTCGTTGGGGCGGCCCTCGCCGCAGAGCAACACGTGCCAGGCGCCGTTGCCCGTGCGCATGTCGACCTTGGCGCCCCAGCTCGCGAGGATCTTGGACATGCGGGCCTGGCTATCCTCGTGCTTCAAACCGTCGCCGAACTCGGGGAAGAAGCCCGTGAGCAGGAACGTCATGCCCGCGAGGGGCCGCGGGTCCGAGCCGTCGCTGAGCTTCGTGGCGTCGCCCTGGGGCGCGTGGAGGGCCATGAACTTGGCCTCGTCGCAGCACGCGGACTTGCAGGACGCGTTGCACGCGAACGCGCCGGGGACGCTGACGTCGCCCATGACGGTGTCGCCGTCGGAGCTCATGACCGTGTCGCCGCTGTCCGTGGGCGCCACGGAGGCGTCGTCGCGGTCCTCGTCCATCGACGCGCCGTCGTCCGTGGGCGCCACGGAGGCGTCGTCGAGGCCCTCGTCCATCGGCGCCGCGCCGTCGCCCGCCTCGCTCCGCGCCGGGCCCGCGTCGCCGCCGTCCGTCATGGCCGAGTCCCCGTCCGCGTCCCGCGCGAGCCGCTGGCTCCGCCGCGCGAGCAAGCGGTCGACGGCGTCGTCGACGCTCTTCTGGACGCTCACCGACGCCTTCGACACCGGCTGCCCGCCCTCGTCCGTCGGCGGCGGGGTCGCGGTCTCGCGAAGGACGCGTTGTTTCTCGGCGAAGGCGTCGGTGCGGGCCTTCATGTCCTCCTCGAACGCCGTCTCGTCGAACTTGGCGCGGGGGTTTGGTCGCTTGACGCCGCGCTCGAAGAGCAGCTCGAGCTTGTCGAGCTCGGCGAGGACGCGCTCCTTCTCCTTGGCGTTCTCCGACGTGTCCTCGCAGGGCTCGAACTGGATCGCGTTCCCATTGACGTTCGAGATGGACACGTCGGACTTCTTGAAGGACTGGAACTTCTTCGTGATGCGCATGTCGGAGCACCGGAGCTTGGCTGCTAGGTACTGGCGAAGCAACGTGCCCCGCGAGCAGTGGAGCATGCCGTTGTGAACGCGCCGATGAGCGCCACGGTGTAGTCCTCCTCCTCCTCGGACCAACTGCCCTGGCGCTCCGGCGGCGACTTCGATCGCTCGGCGCGCGGCTTCCGCTTGGCCTTGGGCTCCGACGGCTTGCGCTTCTTGTCGCGTCGCACGTCGCTCGAATCGGCGTCACTCGAATCCGGCGGCGCCAGGGGCGACGGCGCGCCGTCGACGTCCATCGACGCGCCCGGCGCCGCGTCGGCGCGGAGGAGCACCTCGCCGTCGTCCTTCGACTCCTTCGACTTCTTCCTTTTCTTCGACTGCTTCCTCTTCTTCGACTTCTTCGACTTCTTCGCCATGGCCGCGACGGCCTTCTCGACGAGCTCCTGGGGCACGTCCGTGGGCCAGAGCCGCGCCTCGAACCTGTCCACGCGCTTCTCCCCTCGGAGCACGGACCTGACCTGGGCGCTCGTCTTCCGCACGTCCCCGAAGAGTTTCGGGAAGGCCTCGCGGAACGCCTCGCAGATGCCGCCGGCGTTCGCGAAGAACTGCCACTCCTCGCCGACGCGCCGCGCGAAGCAGCCGTCGGCCGCGGTGCCGCCGGACTCCTTCAGGTCGTAGCAGTGCTCCACGACCCGGCGGCGCGCCAAGTCCTCGGCCGCCCGCTTCTTCGAGATCGACTCCTTCGCCATGGCCGCGACGGCCTTCTCGACGAGCTCCTGGGGCACGTCCGTGGGCCAGAGCCGCGCCTCGAACCCCGGGATGACGTTCTTCCCTCGGAGCACGGGCCCAATCTGGTAGCTCGTCGTCAGCACGCACCCGAAGAAGTTCGGGACGGCCCCGCGGAAGGCCTCGAAGATGCCGCGGGCGTCCGCGAAGAACTGCCACTCGTCGCCGCGGCGCCGCGCGAAGCAGCCGTCGTCCGTGCCGCCGCCGGACTCCTTCAGGTCGAACCGGTGCTCCACGACCCGGCGGCGCGCCAGGTCCTCGGCCGCCCACTTCTCGATTGCGACCCAGTATGCGCGCACCTTCTCCTCGTCGCTCGTAGCGGCGGCCTGCGCCGAACGGTACGCGGCGTCGGCCGCCTCGCGCTCCCGCGTCGCAGCCATTAACGCGTCGCGCAGCGGCGCCGCCTCCGCCTCGCGCGCCGCCGCCTGGCGCCGCGCCTCCGCCACGCACTCCCGCTCCGCCGCCTCAAACGCGTCGCGCAGCGCCGCCGTCTCCGCCTCGCGTCGCGCCTCCGCCTCGACGTCCGTCGACGGCGCGGCGTCCGCGCCGAGGCCGACGATGGGCGACTCCTCGGGCGACGGCGCGGACGGCGCCTCGTCCGCCGGCGCGGGCGACGCCTCGTCCGCCGGGTCCGCCGGCGCGGCGTCGTCGCACTCCTCGTCCGGCTGCGCGAAGTCGTCGCACTCCTCGACGGCGGACTGGGCCGGCGCGGCGCCCGGCGACGTCTTCGCGGGCGACGGCGGCTTGGGCGACGGCGCGGGGGGCCGCTGCGCCTCCGACTCGTCGAGGTCCGCGCGGCCCGCCGCCTCGGGCGTGCTGCCGGGCTTCGGCGCCGACGCGGACGAGTCGAGCTCGTCGAGGAGCGGCGTCGGCGAGACCGCGCGCGGCGCGTCGGCGGCGAGCGCGTCGGCGAGCTCCGCCTTGTGCTGCGCGACGGCCATCTCCGCGGCGGCGAGCTCCTCCGCGTGGCGCTCCGCGGCGGCGGTGAGGCGCGCGACCTCGCCCTGCGAGATCTCGAGCTGCTTCGTGACCGCCGCGTACTGCGCGTTTCTCGTGTCGAGCGCGGCCATCACGTCGACGGTGAAGTGTTCCTCCCGGGGCGAGCAGCGCGGCGCGGCGTCGCGCTCGGCGCGCGCGGCGAGGCGCGCGTTCGCGTCGTCGAGCTCCGCCGCGAGGCGCGCGTTCGTGTCGCGCGCCTGGGCGAGCAGCGCCTCCGTCTCCGCGAGCGCGCACGTCGTCGCGACGTCGCCCTCGGGCGGGACCTCGTCCGAGGGCGAGTGCGGCGCGTCGTCGCCCTTGCGGAGCGCGGCGAGCTCGGCGAACGCGTCCTCGGCGAGGTGCGCGAGCTCGTCCTCGCCGAGGCGCGCGGGCGGGATGGGGGCGAACAGCTCGGGGTGCGGCTCGTCCTCCGACTCGGCCGACGGCGCGAGCTCCGCGCGGCCCATGGGGTTGCGCGCGTGCGCGGCGACCTCGAGGATCGCGCTCGACGCGGCGTCGCCGGCGAGCGGTTCGTCGGGCACGCCGACGCCCGCGGCGTGCAGGGCGTCGAAGCACTCGACGAGAAGCCGCGCGCGCGATTCGAGAAATGAGCTGCCGAGGAGCGCAAGGATGTTTCCCAAGGGGCCGGTGGACTTGGACTGGGCCACTAAGTCCTCCAAACTTTCGCCGAGCATTTTCATCCATCCACTGTACATCTCGGGCTCGTCGTCAATCCACGGTTTTGCGGGTATCTCGTCTCGCGTTGCGATCATCTCGAATGAATTCACGCGGCGCGGCTGCGGCTCGTCGAACATCCGGTTCTCCCGTAATGCGATTTAACTTTCATCATCTTGCGCGCGGTCATCTTGTCGAGGCGAACGTCGTCGCAGTGGTCGTTGTGATTCTCCTAAGTCCGCGGCTGGGGTACCCCAACATACGCTCAACATCAGGAATCCTTTCGTTGCACTCGCCCGCGGGGTCGCGCGCGCCCGGCGACCCGTGCTCGTCGAAATGGGCGCCGAAGGCAGCGGTGTCGAGCCGGGACGCCGTGTGGTGGATGCCTGGTGCTGATTTGCCGTGATTCGGCCGCCGGCGGCGGTCGAACACCGGCACGAGTATGTCCGACCCGGACCAAAAGCTGGCTCCGCCAGCACCAAGAAGATTCGCGACCGTCCCCGGGAAATGGTCCGGTTTGCGCTGGCAGGTGGTCCGATAGACGCCTCGATAGGCGCGGCGCGTCGCCGGGGCTGTGACGCCCAAGGCGTCGCCCATCTGGAGCTCCTGGGTTGCAGTGTCGTACTCAGCGACGCGATGAAGTTCGCTCTGGTGGCGCTGGCCGCCACGGCCTCGGCCCTCGTGGCCCCCGCATCCCTCAGACGGCCGGCGACGGCCCTCGCCGTCGCGACTGCCGAAGTTCCCGTGAAGTCGTTCGACGGCGCCGACGCCGGAACCGCGACGCTCTCCCTGAAGACGACGAAGGGCGAGAAGGACATGCGCGTCGCCGCGTCCCGAACTCGGGGCCCGCGTAGCCCCCGCGAGGCTCCCCCCGACGCGCTCCCGTCGTCGCGTCCGCTTTGACCCCGCCCCCCGCTCTAGGTACGTCGTCCACCGCAAATACGTGAACGAGCGGCGTAACGCGCGCCAGGGCACGGCGTCCACGAAGACGCGCGCGGAGGTCCGCGGCGGCGGCCGCAAGCCGTTCAAGCAAAAGGGCACGGGCCGCGCGCGCCAGGGCTCGACGCGCACGCCCCTCAAGCCCGGCGGCGGCGTCGTCTTCGGCCCCAAGCCCAAGGACTGGGCGAACAAGAAGATCAACCGCAAGGAGGCGGAGCTCGCCATCGGCATCGCGATCCAGAACAAGGCGGCCCGCGCCACGGTCGTCGACTCCCTCGCCGGCAAGTTCGTCGGCGCGCCCAAGACGAAGAGCGTCACGTCCATGCTCTCCGGCCTCGGCCTCGACGCCGACGAGAAGACGGTCCTCGTCTACGACACGGAGGACGACGTCCTCGAGAAGTCGGCGGCGAACCTGCCCAACTGCGAGCTCCGCCTCCAGGACGAGATCACCGTCTCCGACATGCTCTGGGCCAACCAGGTCCTCTTCACCAAGCCCGCCTTCGACTGGGTCAACGAGCGCTACGGCGCCTAGGCGGCCCCGACCCCGCTCCGAAAGACGCGACGACGGCGCGACGGCCGCGACGGGGCCGTCGCGCGCGGAGTAACCGACATCTCCATGTAGTCAGCGCGGCGGTGTCGCCCCCGCGGCGGCTGGTCTGCCGGTCGCGGCGCCCGGTCCGCGCGGACGACCGCCGCGGGGCCTGGGCGGGTTCTTGGTCGCGCGCAGCAGCGTGATGACCGTACACTAGAAAAGCACCGAGAAACCGACGAGGCGTGCGCGTCGTAAGAGGTGAGTGTGTAGCTTCAAGTTGCCCTGTAAGTTGCAACTCCTTCGAGACATGCTCACTTAGTGATGCTGATTACGATGCTGCTCGACGAATCGTACGACTACCATGTCTGCTACTACCGGCTGCAATTCGCGTGCCAGGCCTGCTGGTGGGGCCTCGTCTACTTGCTCTCCGGCGGCCGGTGGGTCTACGAGCTCGGCGACGCGTCCGTCGCGACGTCGCCGGCCTGGCTCGTGGGCCCGCCGCAGCACTCCGTGGGCAACCTCATGGTCTGGCTCCACGCGCGGCGGCGGACGGTCTACCTCGCCATGCCCTACATGCTCGGCGTCGCGGCCTTTGGCGACAACGCGCGCTACTTCTTCCCGCGCTACGTCGCCGCGCTCGCCGTGTCGCTCTATCACGCCGCCGAGACGGCGCTGAGCCGGCGCCACGGCGAGTACGGCCTGCTCTACAGCGCCTGGGGCTGCTGCCTGCCGGCGGCCTGGGCCAGGGGCGCCTGCCTCGGCGCGGCGACGCACTTCGTGCTGTCCGCGGGCGCCGCGAAGATTCGGGTCGGCGGACTGGGGTGGTGCCGCGGGTCGACGCTGCGGACCTACCTCAAAGCCTACCGCGAGTCGAAGTCGGCGCTGACGCGGCCGTTCTCGCCGGCCCTGTCCTCCTTCGTCGCGACCTACCTCGCGGCGCCCGCGGCCGTCGCGACGCTTCTCCTGGAGTGCGTCGCCGCGCCCGCGGCGCTCTTTTTAGCACCGCCCTACCGGGCCCACGTGACGACGGCGCTCGTGCTCATGCACGTCGGCATCTTCCTCGCCATGTCGGCCCAGGTGGGCCTGGCCTTCGTGACGGCGCTGCCCGTGTACGTCTTGGGCTTCTGCGGCGGACCGCTGGACCGCGGCCCCCGGCTGCTCGCGGCGCTCGTCGGCCTCGGCCCGACGGCCTGGAGCCTCGGGGCCGGGCGATCGATCCCCGAGACCTGGCCCCTGTCGCCCTGCGCGCTCTTCATGTTCGACGGGCCCCAGGCGGACGCGCTCGCGGCGAGGACGATGACGGGCGCGACGCGCCTCGTGCTCGCGCCGCGCGACTTCGACGAAACAACGCTGGTCGGCGCGACGGTCTGCTACGCCTTCAAGCCCCGCGCGCCGTCGACGGCCGCCGTCGTCCACGACGCGGTCCTGCGGACGCTGGGCTTCACGCTCTGCCCGTCCGAGGAGGTCCTCAAACTGCTCTCGGACCCCGCCTGGGACCCCGCGGCCCTCGTCGCCGCGACGGAGGCCTGGCTCCGGCGCGAGCGGACCCTCGCGGAGACGACGACGGGCAGGAAGCTCGCGCGCGCGTTCTTCGTCGAGGTCGACGCCGCGGGGACCGCGGTGGCGCGGCGCTTAGTCTAGGTGCCCGGGTAGGCGACCTTGTTGCCCCGTTCGTCGTGGAGGATGGACGTGTCCTTGGAGATGCCGAAGGGGTAGGACTGGGGGTAGTTGCCCGGCGCGCGGCGCGCGTGGTGCCACGTGTAGTTCGACGAGTAGCCCGGCGGCCAGGGCTCGTCGGGCTCGCTCCTCGGCAGGCCGCAGGCCATGGGCCGGTCGAAGCCGCCGTGGGACGCGTCGAGGCACTCCGTGCCCCAGATCAGGTTCACCGCGCCGTACTCCGGGAGCCGCGGGAAGTCGTGGTCGTAGAACTGGCCCTTGACCGTCCGCGCGAAGTCGCGCCATTTGTTCACCCACCAGGGCGTCGCGAAGGCGATGAAGGAGTGGCCCGTGCGGTGGCCCTCGTCGATGGCGCCCTTGACGCCCAGGATCGCGTCGTCGATCGCGCGGCTCCACGGCTTCGGCAGCCAGATGAAGTGCGCGAACGTCACGACGGACAGGTCGCCCGTGGACGCGGCGAGGGGCACGGCCTGGCCGTAGCCGCAGTAGGGCGCCTCCATCCAGGCGTTCTTCGTTTTGGGGTAGGCGAGCTGGACGTTGTAGCGCGCGGGCAGGTAGTGGACGTGGACGTCGCGGCGCCCCACGGCGAGGTTGATCAGATCCTGGCCGCCGGACATGTAGCCGTCGCTCGCGACGGCCACCCTCGCGCACCAGGCCGTCCAGCCGATGGCCGCCATGCGCCGGTTGTTGAAGACGAGGACGCCGTAGTTCGTGCCGTCCTTGAACGCGAAGCCCTGGGGGCGCGACGCGTTGACGAGCGCGGCGCGGCGCGCCGCGTCGTGGAACGCGGGGTAGCCCTCCAGCACGTTGCCGATGCCGTACTTGCGCTTCTCCTCGCTGGCGATCTCGAAGGCCGTGAACTCGCGCCAGCACTCCTTCGGGTAGAGGCGGATCATGCCGACGGCTTCGACCTTGGGGATCTCCTCGAGGAGGCGCGCGTCGTTCGTGAAGACGTCGTAGTCGATGCAGACCGTGTGGTCGATGCCCAGGGCCCATAAAAGCTCGGGCACGACCATCTGGAAGTAGCACTCGACGGGCCAGGGCGTCTTGTAGAACGACGCGCGGTCGTTGTTGCTGTAGCGCAACCGCTGCACGGCGGAGAGGAGCGGGCTCGCGGCGACGTCGACCCAGAGCACCTCGACGACGTCCGCGTAGGGTCCCACGGCGTCGGCGACCTCGCGGCTGCCCCGGTGCTTGGCGTCCATGGCCACGAAGAGCCGCGCGTCCTCGTAGAAGACCTTGGCGCGGAGCAGCGCGACGAGGCCCGGCGCGAGGCCGCGCGTGTCGCTCGTCGTGACGAAGGCCAGCGACGCGCTCGTCCTCTGCGCGAGGCACGCGACGAGCAGCGCGACGACGACATGGCGCGCCATCGCGCGCTGCCCGTCAGCGATGCAAGGTGAAGGCAATAAAAAAATAGTTAAAATCGGTGCCACGTCCCTAGGCGTCCTCGGCGTAGTCGTAGCCCGAGCACCCGGGGTACCCGCCCGACATGAAGTCGAGGTCGGTCTGGATGGAGAAGCCCGTCGGGTCGATGATGTAGTGCTGCTCGCAGGAGAAGGCGTAGGTCGTCGACTTGTTGGCGATGGGGTAGATCCGCGCGTAGTTGGCCGTGAAGGCCTCGACGATGGACGCGCCCGACGTGCCGGGCAGGTCCATGGCGTAGTGGTTGTCGCCCCACTTGTCGTGGACGGACGGCGACGTGTCGACCGCCGCGTGCGACGCCCAGAGCGTCGCCTCGAGGTCCGCGACGGTGAACTTCGCGTCGTCGTCGCGCTGGACGAAGCAGACGTCGCTCCCGGCCCAGCCCCACTGGTAGCACTTGCGGGCCACGCCGGCCGCCTTGACGTCGAGGACCTCGACGGCGCCGAGGACGGACTCGTAGAACGTCGCGACGGCGGCGAGGTCCGAGACGCCGCGCGTCACGGCCACGCCGTAGAGCAGGTTGTTGTAGGTCGATTTCACCGTCGTGGACATGCGCACGGCCGTGCGGTTGCTCATGCGCGTCTCCATCGCCAGCGTCGGCGTCGTCTTCGAATTCTGGGACACGAGCTCCAGGATCATCTGCGATTTGGGCACGTGGACCAGGAGCGAGTGCCAGGTCTCGCCCTCGGCGCTCGTCCAGGAGAAGCGCAGCGTCGGCACGCCGTCCTTCGCGAAGGCGTCGCCGTACGCGTCGAGGTCCGCGGCGTAGAGGACGACGTTGAAGTCGAAGAACGCGTCGTAGGCGCCCGACGAGAAGTTGGCCACCTTGGCGGCGAAGACGGCCTCGACCTCGGAGACGTTGAGGCCGCCCGCCGTCTCGCTGGACCAGACGTCGACGAGGTGGAGGCCGAAGCCCTCGCTCCGCTCGGGCTGGAGGCGCCGCGCCGCCGCGACTTCGTCCAAGTCGACGTCGAGGGTCAGCGCGTCCTGGCCGGGCTTGGCGAAGTAGGTCGCGGCGACGCAGCCCGGCGTCGCCGCGCAGGCCTTGCAGCACGTGTCCGGCATGTTCGCGTACGTCGCGTATATGGCCACGTCGCCCGACGACGAATCGTCGAAGGCGGAGCCGGTCGTGTAGGCGCAGTCGTCGCCGGGCGTGCCCGCGTAGGTGAGCGCCGTGGGCTCCTTGGCGCTCGTGCTCGGCGCGGCGTCGCCGACGGACGAGTACATGTGGCAGTTGCGGTCGTAGATGAAGCCGGGCTCGACGAGCTGCGCTCGCCCCTGGGTCTTGGCCTGGGCAGCAAAAGGGTGATTCAACGTCGCTTCAACATGAGTGTTCCGCGCGCGCGCGTTCCGGAAAAAGCATCCACGCTTCGAGAGCGTTCCGAGAGATGATCGCTCGTCCAAAAGTCAGCCGAAACGAGCGGAAATCGGCCGAGAAAGCAGCCTTTGAAGTTGGGAATTTCGCCCTCTTTTGCTGCCCTGGGTCTTGGCCCCGTCGGGCGAGCGCGCGCCCTCCTTGCACACGTTGGACGGGCAGGAGTCGATGGCCACCGTGACGGGCAGGTACTTGAGCATGAACTCGAGGCCGGGCAGCGGATCCGAGGAGGCGTAGGTGGACCTATTGGCATGCGTTTCGAGTCGTTTGCATGCGTGTGACGCTGCGTGTCGACTTGGCGAGGCCGTCGCCCATGCCCTGGGCATCGGCGAAGGCGAGCAGCGCGGAGGCGACGGTCGCGCGAATGAACATCGTGTGTGGCGATCGTAAGCTGCCTATTGGTCCTTTTGGGCTGCCGTGTTTCGGATCGGCAAGTGCAAATTGACGTCTCGTTTCACCCACTGCTCAATTGACTCTAGCGACGCTCTCAATGCTCTCTCACGCACCAACCCGACGATTGTTCGCACCGCTGCAGCGCGTCTCCACCTAGCTGCGTTGCCAGACCGACGCGCTACCGAAAAAACAATGGCCGAGAACAAGCGCGAGGGCGACCTCCTGACGCACGACTCCCGCAGCTGCGTCCTCTTCCTGGGCACCTGCGCCGGGTCCGGCGCCGCGGACCAGAAGCCCGTGGACTTCCGGCGCATGGGCCCGAAGATCCACCGCGGCGCCGCGAGCGCGTCGTACCAGGCCGAGCTCCTCGCGCGGCTGAAAAACGCCGTCGACGCGGAGGGCACCGATCTCGAGAAGCTCGTGCTCGCCGAGGGCGCCGCGCCCGCGGCGGCGGCGGGCCACGTCTTCCTCGTCACCTGCCTGCCGGCCGACGTCGCCCGGAAGGCCGCGGACGTCGCGCTGCGCATCCGCGCGGGCACGCGCCACGAGGCCGATGGTCTGGTCCTGCCCGACGCCGCCGCGCTCGTCGCGTCGATCGACGTCGCGCCGCAGCTTCGTACCGACCTCATGCTCTTCATGAACGAGATCCTCGTCGCGCCCGCCAAGAGCGCCGTGCTCGCCTACTCGACCGACGGCACCTACGCGGCCGTGCAGCGCAACTTCCCCGTCGAGCGCGCGCCGGCGAATGCCGACGAACTGCGCGCGGCCGTCGCGGGCAAGCCCTTCGCGTCCTGCTTCTGGTGCGCGGCGCCCGCGTTGGCCGAGCCCCTCAAGGCCTGCGGGCGCTGCGCCAGGGTCGCCTACTGCGGCCGCGAGTGCCAGCTCAAGGACTGGGCCGCGTTCCACAAGGGCGGCGAGTGCAGGGGCCTCGCCAAGGGCGGCGACGCCGCGCTCGCCTGCATGGGGCCGACGCGGGCGGCGACGCTCCGCGTGCCGACGAACGTGTCGCCGCGGCTGCCCGTCGACCTCAAGCCGCCCTTCGACGGCGACGTGATCTGCGCCTACCTCACGAACCTCGATGACGACGGGAGCGTGGGGCCGGCGACGGCGCCGCACCCGCTCGGCTGGCACCTGATCCCGCGGGAGCGGTGGGCCTACGAGAAGAACAAGTTCTCCTACGCCGCGTAATCCGTCTCGTTCGTCTTATTGCCCCCGCGCGAACCCGTCCTTCTTGCCCCCGGAGCTCTTGCCCTGCTTCTTCTTCTTGCCCTGCTTCTTCCGCGCGGCCGCGGCCTCCAGGCCGCGGCGGCGGCGCGCGCGCATCGCCGGGTCGGCCTTGGCCGCGGCCCGCAGCGCCTTCGAGCCCGCGGCGAGGCCCGCGGCGGACGCGTCGGGGCAGCACGCGAGGAGCGCGCGGAACGGCCTTTCGCTCGACACGAGCGCGTCCAAAACGGCGGCGGACGACGGCGCGCGCGGCCGGGCCTCGTCCGCGGCGGAGTCGCCGCGCGACCGGGCCCGGGGCCGCGGCGCCGCGCCGCCGGCGAAGCTCCGCCAGACGTCGTCGGCGCCGGCGTCGAAGGCGAGCGCGGCGCCCGACGCCGCGTACGCGACGTCCTTCGCGCGCCGCAGCAACGAGCGCTGCCGCGCGAGCAGCAGCGCCGGCCGCGCGCGGCGCTTCGCCGCGACCACGGCGCCTGACGCGAGCGACGCGGCGCGGAGCTTCCGGCAGGTGCCCGCGGCGCGCGTCGCGGGCGAAAAGCGGAAGACGACGTCCAGCAGCGCGTCCGCCAGCGCGTCGAAGGCGCCCGCCGCGCCGCCCGGCGCGACGCGCGCGGGGAAGAGCTGTTCGTCGACGCGCGCCAGCCGCGCCACGGCGCGCGCCGTCGTCTCCGTCGGCGCCGCGACGGCGCAGCGCGCGGTGTACGGGCCGAGCGTCTCCGCGTGCGACCACTTGCACCGCCGGTTCGTGCAGCCGTCGTCGAAGAAGTGCGCCGCGCAGAGCTTGGGCCGCTCCGGCGCGACGAGCCAGACCTCCGGGTCGGGGTCGCCCCGGAAGAGGGCGTTGAGGACGTCGAGCGGCTCGACGAGGAGGCCCTTCTCCCGCAGCTCCTTTTTTTCCTTGCGCTCGGCCTTGCGCCGCTCGGCCTTTTCGACGCGGTGCTGCCAGTTGCCCTTGACCATGTCACGGCTTTCAGTGGGCAATGTGAGCGCTCAATTTCACGGCGCGGTGCGCTCGATGGTGGTGTCAAGAGGGCAATGTCAGCGCGCGGCCGACGCCAGCTCCATGCTCACTTGCGAGAGCCCTTCAATGTGGATGATGCTGCTATCGCGCGCAGATACTTTTTAGGCTGGTCGTGCAGAGCATGAAGCAGCCCTGTTGCCGCTTCGCGTCGATAATTTCGTCTGAGACGCCAAAAGGCCAGGGGGCGGCATGGCAGCCCCCGTGCGGTCCAGGAACCCTCTGAGCGGTGGACAAATTACGCGTTTCGGCATCGGATCCGGTGTCTCGTGCCGCGCCACCGATTTTGTCCACGGGAGAGCTTGCCGCTGGGCTGCGTTCGAGAGGAGTTGACGGGCGCGGGCGGGGACGCACCGCCCGAGTATGGTCGAGACAGAGTCTTTCGGCTGGACCTAAATGCGGTTCCGGCCTCGGAACCGGTGCCCCGAGGGGCGCCAAGCTTTAGGTCCAGCGATCTCGCCCCTGTTTCGACGGTAACGGGAGCCGCCGCGGGCCGCGGCGGCGCCCGAGCCCGACCAGACGAGCTCGACCATATCGAGCCCCGCGACCTAACCCTTGCACCGAGGCGATGCGTGGGTGACGACGAACGATCTCTGGTGCTGCGAGGGCTCAAATCTAGCTCGAAGGGGTCGGGGAAGCCGAACGCGCCCCATCCCAGCCCATAAAACCTCTCGTTCGCGTCGCCCCGCAATCGGCTCGATGTCGAGTTTTCGCCGTTGCCTCGTCCGTACGCGCGCGGTCAACAAAGCCACTGGGATCGTGGTACGTCGTTGCATTATGGCTGGGCTGTGGGCCTGAGAAGCTGATGGATTCTCCATCGCACGCTCGAAAACGTGCTCGACGTTTCGAGCGAGTGCAACCGGCAAACATGGGCTCAGGGGTATCTGCGCGCGATAGCTGCCCTCGGCGAAGAAAGAGTGCACGATGGAGAAGCCCGACGAGGCGAGCGCCACGCGCTGCAACACGGACCCCTACTGGGACGCGCTCGGCGCCGCGAGCTGCGTCGGCTTCGTCGCCGCCATGTCGGCGTCCGCCGGCGGCTGGGACATGCCGGGCCCGCAACAGATGACGCGGGGCGACTGCGACCAGTTGAACGCCACGGAGCCGCGCTTCAAAGCCGTCTGCCTGCGGGGCGGGACGGAGCCGCCGCGCAGCGGCAAATACGACAGTAAACGCACCGGCGACGGCGCGTTCCGCTGCGCGTGCTGCGGCGCGCCGCTCTTCGGCTCGGCGGCCAAGTTCGAGTCGGGCACGGGCTGGCCGTCGTTCCACAGCCCCTACGACGCGAGCGCCATCACCTACGCGAAGGACGCCTTAATTCACACGGAAGTGCGCTGCTCGCGCTGCGACGCGCATCTCGGCCACGTCTTCGGCGACGGTCCGAAGCCGACGGGGTTGCGCTACTGCATCAACAGCGCGTGCCTGGCGCTCGACGCGGGGACGCCGTCGAACATCGCGGGCAAGGGCGGCCTCCCCTGGGTCTGCCACTGGGCGTTGATGACCGCGCTGACCATCCTCGCGTGCTTCGGCGTCGCGCGGGCCCTCTGGCGGTACTGGGGCTTCTCCCTCGCCCGCGCCGCGCGGCGGAGAGCGAAGACGACGCCGTCGCTGGAGCTCGCCGCGGGGCTCTAACGGTCGTGAGTTTCCACCGTGGACACCCCTGCGTCTAGATTACCTCCGAGGCAAGGCCCGAGACGACATCTGTGCGTCCGATGAACTTCCGCGTCTTCAACCATTACGATGAAGATTGCATCCGCTCGTCACTGCTCGGCCGGCTGTGCTTCGCCTTCAGCCTCGAGCGTCTCACAGCAGCAAGAGCGGAAACAGGCCAGCCTCTCGCGAGAGCTGAAACTGTCTGATCCCCCGGCTGAGGGGCGGGGGCGCACACCGCGGACGCACGGCGCGCGCGAACGACCAAAAAACCGCGGCGCGAGGCGCCGCCGGCGAAGTTTAACGAAGAATTCGAGCCACCGCGATGGAGCGCATGAGTTCCATGGACATCGGGTCGCTCCCGGACAGCACCTGGGGCGACATCGTCGAGCAGGGGGGGCTCGGCATCTCCTTCGACGAGTCGCCCGACACCGTGCTCCTGACGACGCCGGGCGAGGGGGGCGGCATCGCGGCGCAGCTGTCGAAGCGCGGCTCGACGCAGATGCGGCCGCGGAACTCGAGCCTGGGCACGTCCTACGACGCCCAGCGGCCGGCCCTCTCGACGCGCCTGTGCGTGCCCCCGCGCCCGTTCTTCGCGCGCCTCCCGGTCTATCCTCGCTCCCGCGCGCCGCGCCGAATCTCCGATCCGCGCGCCGAATTCCGCGGCCCCGCAGGCGCGCGCTGTCGACGCTCGAGGCCCGCGGCGAGATCGACGCCATGCAGAAGGGGTCCCTCAAGGACGCGTGCGACCGCGGCGCCCTAAATTCCCCGAACCCGCGCGCGCGAAACCGCCGAAACCGCCGCCAGGCTCCTGTCGTCGCCCGACAACGCGGCGGGCATCGGCGAGGCCCTGGACCGCTACCACAACACGGGGGGCGCGGACAAGGCGCCCGTGCAGAAGCTGCTGCGCAACTCGCTCGCCGCGGCGCTCGACGCGTCGCCCGACCCGATGCAGCATTTGGGCGACGACTTACAGAATTTGATGTCGCTCGACGACATGGGCGGCGGCAACTTCGGGGACCGGGGGTCCCTGACGCGGGGCCGCGCCGACTCCGGCGGCCTGGCCCGCTTCTCCTTTGGGCTCGGGGACCTGTCCTACAACGGCGCGGGCGGCGCGGGCTCCGCTGGCGCGCGACGGCCGTCCGTCGGCGACTTGGACGCGGGCTCGTTCCCCCGGGGCTCGCTGCGCGGGTCGTCGTTGCTCGAGCTGCGGGACTCAGCGTTCTCCTTCGGGGACGAGGCCATCTCCCACGCCGCGGCGCTCGCGGCGGGCGAGTCGTACCGCGCGCGCGCGGACTCGACGGGCGAGTCGGCCGCGGGCTCCCACTTCGGCGCGCGGGGGTCCTTCGTCGCGCCGAAGCGCGCCTGCCGGGGCTCGCGCAAGCTCACGCGGCGGCCGTCGCCCCAGCACTGGGATTTTGGCGCCTCGGACGGCGCCGGGGGGCCGCCGCCGCCGCCGCTCTTCGGCGACGACATCTCCGACGAGGCGCTGGGCCGCGTGGACTGGGGCGACAACGAGGGCGGCTTCGAACTGGAGCTGGACGGCGTCCTGGACGCGCCGGGCTCCTACACGGGCCAGTCGCCGGGCCACCGGCAGTCGGCGCGCGACGCGGCGCTGTTGTTCGGCGGCGAGCACACGGCGCCGGCCGCGGCGCTGAAGCGCCGCCGGTCCAAGTCCGGCGACGCGCCGTCCTTCGCCTCCGGGGCGAAGCACCCGCCGGGCGCCGCGCGCGCGCCGAAGCCCGCGGCGCCGAAGCCCGCGGCCGCGCCCGCGCCGGCCGCGCCGGGCGTGAACCGCGAGGCGTCCGTCGTCGTCGACGTGGGCTGCCTGCCCCAGCTCGCGACGATCCCCGTGCTGCCCGTGCCCCAGTACGAGTCGCTGATCAACTTCAACCGGACCAAGGGCCGCGGCGCCGCGCACCACTGCGTCATGTGCGGCCGCGAGGGCCGCGCGCCGCCCAAGCCCGGCGACCCGCCGCCGGCCAAGCCCGACGTCGTCATCATCCCGACGCAGAACAAGGACGTCTGCAAGATCTGCGACACCGTCACGTGGAAGCACGCGCCGACGCAGGCCTACTTCAAGTGGTGCAAGGGCTGCAAGCGCTTCCACGCGATCCACGCCTTCGCGGGCAAGCTCAAGGCCTCCAAGTGCGACGAGTCCCGCGCGCGGGGCCGCGCGGGCTACATGCGCCGCAAGGACGCGCCGCCGGGCGCGCCGGACGGCCCGGGCGCGCCGCCGCAGCAGCCCGCGGCGCCCTTCGGCGACCCCCGCGTCGGCGCGCCGCCGCAGCCGCCGCCGCCGCCCATGGCGCCGGCGCCCGACGCGAACCCCCTCGCCTAGCCGCCGGTCTTGACGTGGCCGCGGCTGGGCGCCAACACCACGACCTCCCCTCGCGCGGCGCGCCGCGCCGCCCTCCCGACCCGCCCGCGTCTCGCCACACAACGAGGCCGCGGCGTATACCACATCACTGCACCCCTTTTTGCTCGGGAGTGGTGGGAGCGGCGCGGAGCGTACGGGTGCACGTCGTCGCGTCGCTGCGCGTTGAGGTGGCCCTCGCCGCGACCTTGCCGCAGAGTCCGATCTGCGACATGGCGAAGAGCTTGCTCTGCGTTCTCGCGCTGCTGCTGGCGAGCGCCGGCGCCCTCCTGGCGCCGGCGAGCACGCGCCGCGTGTCGACGGTGCGCTTCGCGGGCGACGCGGAGCGCGTCGAGCTGACGCTCACGGGCGCGACGGTGCAGTCCGTCTTTTGGGCGAACCAGTGCCGGCGCGAGATGGTGACGTTCCTCGGCATCGCCGGCACGGTCGACTCGGACGGCGCCGCCGTCAAGGTCGTCGCCGAGGGGTCGCGGAAGAAGCTCGACCGCTTCGTGCGCTGGTGCGCGCGGGGCCCGACGGACCTCGCGCTCGAGGGCGGGAAGCCGCAATTCGTCGGCGACGTCGTCTACGGCGCCGCGACGGGCCTCGCGGGCTTCGCCTGCAGCGAGGACCTCTGCGACGTCGACCTCGAGCCGCCGGCGGACCCCGTCGCCGAGGCCATGAAGGTGGCCGACGCCGACGACGACGACTTCGACGAGTCGGAGCTCATCGCGAACCTCATCGAGGAGCTGTCCGCGTAGGCGCGCGCCCCCTAAACCCACCCTTCGTACGTTACGGCACGTCCTCGAGGCGCGTGTCGCCCTCGATGGCCGGGAGCTTGCGCGCGCCGGGCTTGGGGCTCAGCGCCGCGGCCGCCTTGTCGGCCGCGGCCTTCTCGGTCATGGCCTGAGGCGCTCGTCGCGCTTCGGGTCGTTGAGGTCGATCTCCATGCGCCGCGACACCGTGGGCACGGGCCAGCCGTGGCGCGGCGCGGCCTCCTGGCGGAGCACGCGGCTCTTGCGCTCCTCGCGGGGCAGCTTCGGCCGCTTCTTCGGGTTGCCGCGCCACGCGGTCCGCAGCTCGTTGTTCGCGACGCGCTGCACGGCCTCGAGGCGGCGCACCTCCTTCTTCCGCTCCGCCTCGACGCGCGCGGCCTCTCTCCGCCGCTGGACCTCCTTCGGGTCCCGCGCGAGCCGCGCGGCGTCGAGGCGCGCCTCCTTGGCTCTTTTCGCCAAAACCTCGCCCTTCTTCGTGCCGGCGTGGGCGAGCTCCTCGGGCGTGAAGTAGGCGGCCATCCAATGCTCGAGCGCGCCGCGGACGCCGTGCTCGATCATCTCCTGGAACTTGCGCTTCACGCGCTGGCGCGCGCGCTCGCGCGACGCCTCCTCCTCGGCGAGGCGCCGCTCCTCGGCCTCGCGCGCGACGCGCTCCCGCTCCGCCCGCGCGATGGCGACGCGGTTCCGCCGCTTCTCCCGCCGCACGCGCTGCGCCTCGAGCCGCTCCTCCTCCGCCGCGCGGATCTCCGCGGCCTCCAAAATCAGGTCGTCCCAGTGCTTCGCCGCCGCGAGCTGCTTCGCCGTGACGCCCCGGTGCTCGCCGAAGAGGGGCGCGACATCTAAATCCGCGCCCTTGGACAGGAGCACGCGCGCCGCGGCCCTTTTCGCGGCCTGGCACGCGTTCCACAGGGGCGTCGCGCCCGTCGACCAGTCGCGCGGGTCCACGTCGTCGCAGGACTTGCGCTCCAGCAGGTACTTGACGACGCGCTCGTGGCCGCAGGCCGCGGCGACGTGGAGCGCCGTCTCGCCGTTGGGGTTCAGCCGCCACAGCTGCTTCCGCTCGTGGTCGAGCGCCGCGGACGCGGAGATGGCCGCGTCGACCTTCTCGCCGCCCTTGGACGCGACGGGCGGCGCGGCGCCCTTGGCCTTCTTCGTGATCATGGCCAGGTTGCCGGAAGCCGCGGCGTCGAAGAGGTCCTGGTTCGCGGAGAGCTTCGCGATCGCGCGCGCGGCTCTCACCGCCCGCATCATGCGGAAGATGCGCACCGCGCGCAGGATGCGCGCGTTCGACGCGAACTTGCCGACGACGGCGAGCTCCGGGTACTTCTCGATGACGCTGCTCAGGAGCACCGTGAGCACGATGACGACGAGGTCGATGGCGACGAGCGAGAAGTCCAGGACGCAGAAGACGTCCGTGAAGAAGGCCGTGTAGGACTTGCAGATGGCGTACTGGCGCAGCCGGAGGAAGATCTCGACCGTGAAGATGGCCAGCGTGATGTTCGACGCGACGGCGACGAGGCACGACTCCTCGCTCAGCACCGAGAAGTCGGAAGTGATCTTCGTGCCGCCCGAGTTCGGCTCGTCGCCCGTCTTCTGCACGACGGAGCAGCCCTCGCTGGAGATGAGCGGGCTGTACATCTGGAGCGCCGTGACGATGAGGTCCGCGAAGGTCAGCCCCAGGATGACGATGAGCAGCGCGTTCGACTCCTGCACCGCGAGGACCTTGCCGTCCCAGCCGAACTCGCGCAGCTCCTCGGAGACCTCGACGAGGCCGCCGAACAGGACCCGGTCCCGCTCGTCCTCGGGCACCTCGCGCATGAGGCCGAAGCAGTACTTTTTAGGGCCCGTGTCCTCGGCCTCCTCGTCGCTCGAGTCCTCCTCCTCGTTCGTCGGCGGGTTCTCGACGTCGCCGCCCGCGGGGCCCTCGCGGCAGCAGGCCGTGGGCCAGACGCAGCACCAGGCCGGGCATCGCCGGCACTTGAGCTTGAGGCAGTAGTGGCGGCCCGCGAGCCGCGACCGGCCGAGCAAGACGCTGATCCTGCCGGCCTTCTTGCCCTTGTCCGCGCCGCCGCCGCGGAGCGCGCCGCAGGCGCCGCAGAGCCGGCCCAGCGCGCCGGGGCCCCGGGCGGCTTTGGCCTCCTGCTTCGCGACGACGACGGCGCCCTTCTTCGCGCCGCGGCGGGCCGTGATGCCGGGCGCGTTCATCAGGTCGTCGGCGTCGAGGTCGACCTCCTGGTCGACGTGGACCCGCCGCTTGCAGCACGGGCACTTGGGCATGGTTTTAAAACCGTGTCTTATCTGTTGCCGTGTCGGCACGAGCGCGACAACGCAGCCATCCTCATCCGAGGGGCTCCATCGATCGATCAACGCGCTGGGCGAGGTCGGTCTTGAGGTTGTTGAATGGCCGGTAGGGTTGCTGTCGCACGATGGCCATCAGAATCCGACCACTGTTGTTGCTCGTCGTGCCCTGCGCGCTGGCGCGGCGGGGCCCGTTCCCGATGGCGCGCATCGTTCCGGCCGACGCCGTCGCGAGCACGAACGCCGACGTCGCGCTCGTCAAGAGCGAGGAGCTCGAGGAGGAGCGGAAGATGTGGAGCCCGTTGCTGTCGGCGGCGCGCGCGACCTACGAGCGGAGCCCGCTGCTGTCGCTCGTGCGGGCGGCGGGCCCCCAGGCGGCGGTCTTCACGAGCGCCTTCGGCCTCTGCGTCGAGCGCTTCCGGCGCCACGTGACGCCGGCGACGGCGGCGATGGCGGCGCTCGCGGTGCTGCCGGCGCCCGCGCAGCGCGCGGCGATCAAGTGCGGCGCGGCGACGGGCTTCGGCGTCGCCTTGGTCGCCACGGTCCGCGAGGCGCGCCTCGAGCAGCGCGCGGCGCCCTTGGAGGGCGAGCCGTTCGCGCTCGTGACCGGCTGCGGCGACGAATTGGGCGCGTCGGCCGCGGAGGCGCTCGCGCGGCGCGGCTACGGCGTCGCGCTCGTGTCCGCGCGCGAGGGCGACGCCAAGGCGCTCGCGCGGCGGCTCCGGGCCGACTACGGCGCGCGCTGCGTCGCCATCGGCTGCCCGGGCCTCGCCGACGACGCGCGCGGCTCCGTCCGGTCCCTGTACAAGAAGCTCCGCGAGGCCAACGTCTCCGAGAGCCTCGACGTGCTCATCCACGCGCCGTCGGAGCGCTTCCTCAACCTGCCCGTGGCGGCGAAGCGCGCCGCGCCGCCCGAGGCCGACGCGCCGGCCGACGCGCCGGCGGACGCGGCCGCGGCCGCGGCCGACCCGAAGCCGGCGCCGGCGGCCTTCGACGAGGGCCGCAAGGCGTCGCGCGACGCGCTCTCCGTCGCCGACGTCGCGCTCCAGGCGCGGTGCCGCGCGGCGACGCACCTCGCGCGGCGCGTCGGCGGCGACATGGCCAAGCGCGGCCGCGGCCGGTGCTGCTTCGTCGTCGGCCTCGAGGACGACAAGTGGCGCGACTTCGACGAGCCGCCCGAGGCCTTCGACTCGACGGGCGCCGCCATCCGCGCGTCCGACGCCTTCACGGAGTCCCTCGCGAAGGACCTCCGGCGGTCGCTCGCCAAGTTCGGCGTGGGCGTCACGCTCGCGCGCCGGCGCGAGCGGCCGCCGCCCCTCGCCTGGCTCCGGGCCAAGCGGAAGCAGGAGCCCGACGACGTCGCCGCCGACGGCGACCGCCTCGTCGCCGCCATCCTCCGCGGCGACGCCCACGTGTCCCTCCACGCCGAGCCCACGTGGCACGACCTCGACTGAAGCGCGTAACCGAAGCTTAGACGCCGAGGAACGCCGCGACGAGGCCCGCCATCTCGGGCGGGAGCACGGCGCCGACGCACTTGCGGACGATGATCAAGCGCTGTAACGCGAGGATCCACGCGGCTTTGTGCCGGGCCTTGGCGTCGGCGCGCCAGAGCCGTCCTGACTGCGCAGTTGCCGTTCTGACTGCGCATTTGAATCTTCTGGCGTTTTCGACACTTGCTGCGACGCCAGGAGCCCAGAAGATCCCGGTCCGCGCGAGCTTCACGAGCGCCACGATACCCCCTTCGGCGATCGCGATCGCAACCTGATTCCTGGCGTTGCCGCGTGCGAGGTGGTCCAGTGCGACGACGGCCGCATTCAAAAACTCCCATTCAGCTTTTTCTCTCGCGAGCTCGACGAGGGGCGGAATGCCGCGAGCCTCCCAAATCGCATCCTGAATCTGCGTGCTGCTCTTCCAGGGCAGGAGGTTGAGCAACGTCTGCCCGGCGTTACTCGAGGCGTCTTCCCATCCCCACGAAAATCCCCGGGTGCGTGAGCAACTTGTCGAACGCGGGCCGTTCCGCTTCAGTTCTACGAGCGGCTCGATGCAACCGGCCCGCACCAGCTCGACCGCTGTCGAGCTGTCGAGCGCGAGGGTCATCAGCGCGCGAGAGGCCTGAGTCTTCGCGTCCGCACTGCCGCTCCGCGCGATGTCCACGAGGGGCGCGACGGCGCCGGCCTCCACGAGGACCCGACCACGAGCAGCGGCGGCGCTTAAACTGCGATCAAATGGAGAAGAGTCGTGTAGACCAGGAGACGCCTCGAGGAATTCCGCGAGCGCGCCTGCGGCCTGCTCCTTCTGCTTGTCGTTCCCGCTGCGCAAGGCGCGCACGCGTTCATCGAGGACACTCTCCCAAGGGGTGGGGTCCGCCCTCGGTTCTTGGGCCATCGACTCGAGTCTCTGAAAGAGATCTCTGAAAGGGCAGCACCATCGTCAACATCCAGGAAGCTTTGACCCACCGAGCCACTTGTGCCTGCGATGCGGCCAGCCATGCGCCTCTGCGCTACCTTGTGGATCGCTACCGGCGCCTGCGCGCTGCGCGCGACGCGGCGCGGCGCCATCGACTTTGCCAAAAACGGCGCCGCCGCAGCAGCCACGGCCGGCGTCGCCGTCGCGGCCCCGCGCCGCGCCGCGGCCGCCGTGGCCGGCGCCATCGTGAGCGACGAGGTCGCCGTCACGTTCCAGGAGGCGAGCGTGGGCCTGCAGCTCGAGGCCATCGGCTTCGCCAAGGCGACGCTGGGCTCCATGCCGTCGTTCCGCGTCGCCGTCGTCGGCGCGCGGCCCGGCTCGGAGGCCGCGAAGGCCGGCGTCGAGAGCGACTGGGTCGTCGTCGCCGTCGACGGCGAGAACGTCGAGAAGGCGACGCTCCAGGACATCGCGGCGAAGCTCCAGCAGGCGCCGCGGCCGACGACGGTCGTCTTCCGCGACCCGTCGCGCTTCGCCCAAGCGCTCGAGGCCGGCTCCGGCGCGCGCGGCGCCGCGACGACCATCCTCCCGCCGTCGGGCCCGTATACGACGGCGCAGACGTTGGTCGTCGAGCGCCTCAATTCGCCCGTGGTCTGCGGCCGCGGCGCGGAGCGCGGCGACTTATTGGAGATCCGCTACGAGGGGCGGCTCGCCGCGGACGGCAGGCTCTTCGACGGGTCGGCGATCACCTTCGCCGGCGGCAACCAGGTCGCGGGCCGCGGCGGCGACTCGACGGTCTACTTCGTGCTCGGCCAGCAGCCGCTCGGCCAGTTCCCCGCGGCCTGGGATCCCGCGCTCGGCGGCGCCTGCGTCGGCGAGGTCCGCCGCGTCTCCGTGCCGCCCGTGCTCGGCTTCGGCGACAAGGGCGCGCCGAAGCGCAACGTGCCGCCCTACGCCATGCTCGACTACACGCTCCAGCTCGTCAGCATCAACAGCAACGCGCAGCCGCGATGAGGGCGTAAAGCATGCTGGGTCGACATTGTCCGCCAACGAAAAGTTCAGCGAAGCTTGGCCAGCGCACGAGCAGCGCGGAGCTTCGGCGCGCGAAGCCGACATCAGTCCTCGTCATCTGCCATCACTCTCGTCGCCTCTGCCGCACACGCATTCGCCCGGCCCGGCCAGCGCCGCACGCCTCGATGGCGCGTAGACGCGCGCTCCTCGCCGCGCTCTCCCTGGCGTCCGCCGCCGCTTTGGCAAATAGGCCCGCTCCTCGGCGCCCGCCGCCCGGGGTCGACGACGACGCCATGATGCAGCAGGACGACATCCCGGTCTTCGACGCCAACGTCTAC